TTCCAGTTTCTATGTTTTTGACGCCTATAGCAGCACCTGCACGGTCCAGCATAGTATATCTAGATTTTGGGGTAAACAACTTCCAGATACGGGATAATTGGATTAATTTGATGAGCAACAATTTGCAATTTTACGGGTTACCTTATGAGGAACCAAACACACACATCTCAATGTCTCTCAGAAATTGCCAGAATTGTCATGCTCCTGGGGTTAATGAGGACGCCATCAAGCTGCAATTATTCCCATATATATTGAGAGATGTAGCATTGGAATGGCTGGATGCCGAACCGGATGGAAGTATTACCACATGGGAGGAACTGACCAGGAAATTCTGTAATAAGTTATTTCCACCAGCCAAAGTAGCAAAAATCAAACTGAAAATTCAAACATTTCTACAGAAAGATGGGGAGAGCTATCATGAAGCATGGAATAGATTTAAGGAGTTGATGAGGAAGTGTCCAAATCATGGGATCACTATTGGAAATCAAGTGCAGTATTTCTACGTGGGACTTTCATCACTGTCCAAATCTCAAGTGGATTCCTTTGCAGGCGGATCGATCATAGGGAAATCAGTGCAACAATGTATGGATCTATTTGAGTTGATCGCTACTACTTTCTATGTTTTCATCAGAAAGAGTGGTGCCTCCAAAAGTAGCGGGAATAAATGAATTAGATATCACATCAACTACCAACACCCAAATAGCAGCATTGATAAAACACGTAGAGTTATTGGTAAAGTCACAAACAAAAGGAGCACATGCAGTGATAGCCGGTCCATCATGCGAAAATTGCGAGCTAATCATCTAACAGAAAATTGCACATCTTTGGGATTTTTGGTGGAGCAAGTTGACTTCATTCAAAATGGCTCTTGAAATTTTAATCCCTTTTCACAAACATATAACCTAGGATGGAGACAATACCTAAACTTCAGATGGTCGGATAATTAGCAAGGAAGCAGTTCAAATATAACCAGCCAGAGAAAAAACCAAGTTTGGGGAAGGTGTTCAACCAATACATGCAAAAGACAGACAAGATGTTCCAACAGATTGACACTGACTTTCAGAATCAATCAAGCATCCATCAAGAAGTTTAAAATACAAATTGGTCAGATAGCTCAATAGCTTGCAGAACGCTCGCAAGGGACATTGCCAGACAACACAATGGTCAATCCGAAAGAGCAAGTGCAAGTTATTACAACCAGAAGTGGGGTACAACTTCCAGAGATACATGTGAAAATACAAGAGAAAAAAGACAAAGAAGTAATGGGTAAAGAGACTGGGACAGAAGCAGAGTCCGAACAATCAACTGACAAGGAGGGCGAAAGGAAAGAAACACCCACAGTGAGAGCACCCAGCCCCATGAAAGCTTATGTGCCACAAATTCCCTTCCCTCAAAGGTTATAGAGAAAGAAGTGGGAAAGCAGTTTTACCAAGTTTGTGGAGATTTTTAAGAAACTGCACATCAATATTCCGTTTGTAGATGCAATTGCCCAAATATCCAGCTATGCTAAATTCTTGAAGGAGATCCTGTCTAACAAAAGGAAGTTGGAAGAACATGAGACTATCTGCTTGAACGAAGAGTGCAGTGCACTTCTATTGAAAAAGCTACCCCCTAAACTAAAACACCTAGGGAGTTTCACGATACCTTACACAATTGGTTCTAATTATTTTGAACATGCTTTATGTGATTTGGGTGCTAGTGTTAACCTTATGTCTTTCTCTGTTTACAGGTCTCTTGGGTTGGGAAAAGTAAAATCTATAACAATCTCTTTGCAACCGTCTGACAGATCGATCGAAGGACCAAAAGGGGATTATTGAAGATGTGTTAGTCAAAGTTGACAAATTCATTTTTCTAGCTGATTTCATTATTTTGGACATGGAGAAGGATTCAAACATTCCTTTGATATTGGGAAGACCCTTCTTGGCTACCGAAAGTCTACTAATTGATGTTTACGATGGAAATATGATTCTTCAGGTGGACAATGAGCAAGTCATATTCAACGTGTTCAAGACAATGAAACATCCATTGACTTTCGACACTTATTACTAAATAAATGTTCTTGAAGAGCTTGTGGCAGATACATTTGAGACAGAGTATTACACAAATCTTTGTAAGGCAGAACTTGCACAACCGGAAGCAACAAATGCAGGAAAAGCTGAATGTGTTGTCAACTTGGCCGAGCAACCAATAGGAAGGAGACATTCGCAGCATGAATCTCTTGGCGACAACCCTTCAACCCCTGCACCTTCAGTAGAAAAGGCACCCACTCTTGAATTAAAGCCCTTGCCTTCACATCTCCGTTATACATATTTGGGAGAATCTACAACACTTCCAGTAATCATTGCAAATGACATGACAAGGGAAGAGAAGAATAAATTGTTGGAGGTACTCAGGTAGCACAAAACGGTAATTGGATGGACAATAGCTGACATCAGAGAGATCACTCCTTCTCTTTACATGCACAAGATTTTAATGGAGGATGGGTCAAGTCCATCAGTGGAAGGACAACGAAGATTGATTCCCACTTTAAAGGAAGTGGTGAGAAAAGAAGTGCTGAAATTACTGGATGTAGGAATAATTTATCCCATATCTCACAGTTCATGGGTGAGTCTAGTATATGTTGTGCCTAAAAATGGTGGAATCATAGTAGAGAAGAACGAGAACAATGAACTGATACCAACAAGGTTAGTGATAGGATGGAGAGCATGTATAGATTATCGGAGATTGAATAATGCTACCAGAAAGGATCACTTCCCATTGTCCTTCATTGATCAGATGTTAGAGAGGTTGACAGGTCATTCTCATTACTACTTTTTGGACGATATTCAGGGTACAATCAGATAATTATTGCTCCAAAAGACCAAGAGAAAATAACATTCACACGCCCTTATGAAACTTTTGCATTTAGAAAGATTTCTTTTGGTCTATGCAACGCACCTGCAACCTTTCAATGGTGCATGATGGCTATCTTTTCTCATATGGTAGAAAAATACACTGAGGTTTTCATGGATGATATTTTTGTGTTTGGATGTTCATTTGATGATTGCTTGGATCGGTTGTCTTTTGTATTGCAAAGATGCGAAGAGAAGAATTTGGTGCTTAATTGGGAAAAGTGTCACTTTATGGTAAAGGAGGGGATAGTGCTAGGCCGCAGAATTTCCTCAAAGGGCATTGAAGTTGACAAAGCCAAAATACAAGTGATTGAAAAATTGCAGCCTCCTAATTTAGTTAAGGGGATTAGAAGCTTCTTAGAACATGCAGAGTTTTACAGAAGGTTTATTCAAGATTTCTCAAAAATTACAAAACCTCTGTGTAATCTACTGGAGAAGGATGTGCATTTTCACTTTTCTGATGAATGCTTAAATGCCTTTAATACTTTGAAAGAAAAGTTAACTTCTGCACTTGTGATAGTAGCACTTGATTGGAATCTACCTTTCAAACTTATGTGTGATACTAGTGAGTTTGCAGTGGGAACAGTGCTTAGTCAACGCAAAAGAAAAGTGTTACATATCATCTACTATGCCAATAAAACATTGACAGATGCTCAGATCAATTGTGCAACAACAGAAAAAGAGATGCTAGCAGTGGTCTTTGCCTTCGATAAATTTCATTCCTATCTGATTGGTTCAAAGGTAATAGTATACACTGCCATGAAGCCTTGAAATAACTGTTTGAGAAGAAGGATGCTAAACCTAGACTGATTTGATGGGTTCCGTTGCTGCAAGAATTTGACATCGAGATTCGTGATAAAAAAGGAATAGAAAATTAGGTAGCAGATCATTTATTAAAGCTAGAGAAACTGCAGGATTCATAGGACATGGATATTAATGAGGTCTTCCCAGATGAACAGTTATTGCAAATAGAGAAGGCTCCGTGGTATGCAGACATTGTCAATTATTAGCTAGTGGCTATATAGATCCAGATCTTACCTATCAGCAGAAGAAAAAGCTACTTCATGAAGCAAAATTCTATTAATAGGATGATCTAAATCTATATAGGAGAGGTGTATACCAGATCATTAGGAGATGTGTGACAGAGGATGAGATGAAATCGATCCTTTCACGGGTTCATGCTTCGGCTTACAGAGGACACTTTGGCCTCACTAAAACAACAGCAAAGGTACTTCAATGTGGTTTCTTTTAGCCTACACTATTCAAGGACTGCCAAAATTTTTGCAGGTCATGTGATAAGTGTCAGAGAATAGGTAACATATCAGCGCGTCACGAGATGCCGCTTAACAACATTTTGGAGGTGGAAATATTTGACGTATGGGGGGTTGATTTTAAGGGTCCTTTTCCATCATCTTATAACAATCGGTACATTCTAGTGGCAGTGGACTATGTCTCTAATGGGTAGAAGCTAAAATATTACCTACAAATAACGCAAGGGTAGTGGTGGACTTCATAAAGAAACACATCTTTAACTTCTATGCATCACCTAGGGCCATAATAAGTGATGGTGGAACTCACTTCCACAATTGGTTATTCCAGACAGTGCTGCATAAGTACAGGGTACAACATCGAATTGCCACTCCTTACAACCCTCAGACAAGTGGACATGTGGAAACCTCGAACAGACAATTGAAAAGAATTTTGGAGCTCACTGTAATGCATCTTGCAAGGATTGGTCAAAGAAATTAGATGATGCTTTATGGGCATATCGTACTTCTTACAAGACACCTATTGTGATGTCCCCATATCGACTAGTCTTTGGAAAAACATGTCACCTACCAGCGGAATTTGAACATAGGGCATAGTGGGCATTGAAACATTTAAACATGGACCTCGAAAAGGTTGGGGAAACAAGAATACTACAGCTACATGAATTGGAAGAATTCAGAAGAGAAGCATATGAGAATGCAGTCATCTATAAGGAAAGACGAAGCAGTGGCATGACAAGAACATCAGGCAAAGAATTTTTAAAGTGGAAGATCAAGTGCTTTTATACAATTCCAGACTTAAACTGTTTTCAGGAAAGTTGAAATCTAGATGGTTCGGCCCTTTTACAGTCTCTCAGGTGTTTCCCTATGGCATAGTTGAATTACACCATCCAATAAAAGAAAACTTCAAAGTAAATGGCCGACATATCAAGCACTGCGTGAAAATTTTTCCCACCGCTAAAAAGAGCCTTGACCTAGCTGTACCAGAATAATAGCAGCACAAAATCCAGCTAATAACTTAAAAGAAGTGCTTATTGGGAGGCAATCCAATTTTCAATTTTCTTTTTTGTTTTTGTATCGCATAGCATATAGTTTTGTTTTATTTACTAGGTTGCATTAGATTTAGGCACATTTCAATTTTTAGGAGTTATCACCCATATCCCTTCTGCCCTCAGGCCCTTGAATTTATTGTTGGTTATTTTGATTGTTTGAATGATGCAGAATATTATCCAGCCATCACACATAGTGCCTCACACCTTCAACTGAAAATTTTGGGGAGTACCGTCTTTTTTTTCCCTTTCCCTACCCCCTTTATGTGCTTATTTATGCTTTATGACATTGAGGACAGTGTCAGTTTTTATGTTTTTGTGCGTTTGTTTAAAAAAAATCAAAAAATTTAAAAAAGCTAAAAAAAAAAATTCTCTTTTGTTTAGTTGTGTGCTTATGTAGGTTAGACACTCTGGCAGACAATGTAAAGCCCTGAAAAATTTTATAGAATAAAATTAATTGTTTTAAATTCTCATTTCTTTGGGTCAAAGATTTAGATCTGATGGAGTAAGTTTTAGTACACCAATATTAGACTCTTTTTGTAACTTGTAATTAATTAGAAATTTTCAACAAAAAAAGAAAAGAAAAGAAAAGAAAAGAAAAGGTTAATCGAAATAGTTAGGCCGAAAATATAAAGTTCAAAGAATGTCCTTTATTATAAA